GGTGAACTTTGCTCACTCAGCAGTCCAGACCTGGGATACTGGGTAGGGCCCTGGACTGTGGAAAATCACATGTGGTTTTTAAGTATCAGAAACCCAGAAGATTATTCTGCCAGTTGTATGGATGGCTAGACACTGTCTGGGAGACCCCTGGTTCCATGGCTCCAGGCACCACCCTCCTTGTGGGCCCAAGCAGCCAGACTGCAGACAAGGGGGTGCTCCTAGGGGCCTGTCTCAGGAAGGAGGGGCAGAGAGATAGGGTGGGCCTGAGCCCTTCTCCCTTGGCCCCTGGAGGCAGAGGCAGGACTCTAGGAGGTTGAGAGGTACTGGAGCCTGATCCCAGGGCCTCCTGTCCAGGGATCAGGCTTCCTGGGCTTTCCAGTTAACACCTCCCACACTCAAGCTGGCCAGCAGGCCATGGAAGAGGGCCCCTCAGGAGGGCTCAACATCTTCCCCTCCGCTGGGCCTGCCTTCTGTGTCTGAGCTGCTGCCTCAGAGGCCCTGGGCTCCTTGGAGGGTCTCCGCTGGGCCCCCCCAGGCTCTGCTGCTCCTGTGGCCCTCTCCCCATGACCTGCAGCTGCCCCTGCTCTGCAGCTCAGCACCCGGGTCCCATTGGTGGGTGAATGTCGCCCCTCTGCCCAGGCCGAGGCAGCCCCTGGTGGTGCTCAGGCACCAGCAGGAGAGGCTCCTGCTGCACAGCCCTAAGGCCTGGTGGCCTGATGCCAGGGACTGTGAAGCCTGGAGAGAACGGGTATGTGTCTGGCCTCAGATGTCGTTACTGGATCTGGTCACTGAACATGCTGTGACCTGGACACATTGCTTCTCCCAACCTCAAGTTTCCTCAATCGGAAATGGGAAAGATAGTGCTTGTACTCAGCAGAGTTGGGGTAGAGCTAAGACCTGAGACACGGGTGACTGAATCGGGTGCCTGAGCCTGGGGTCCAGGTTGCCCACTGGGCAGGACTCCAATGCCCACAGGTCAGTGCTTCCCTTGTGGCTTCTCTCCTGGGGCCAGCTGCTGACTTCCTTCCTTCAGCCTGAACATTTCAGAGGAAGGCTGCCCCACAGCTGCTGGCTCCCTGGGCTACGCTCAGGTCGGCCCCTTAAAAGCACCTTAAAGAGCTTCCAGGTGAACCAATGAGCCTTGACCAGAAACAGCCCCAGAGGTGTGTGCAAACTGCCCGGAGTACAGAGGAGGCGCTGGCACTGCAGGGCGTTGGCTGGAGGCAGAGATGGAGGGCAATGGGTTTGCAGGCTTCCTGGCCACAGCAACATGGCAGGCATCTCCTGCTGAAATGGCTGGAGGTCCTGGCAGGACAGCCTGGAGACATCTTTTTCAGGTCCTCAGGAGGCTGAAATGTGGCTCCCCTGCATACGGATTTCCACAGAAACCTTTAGAATGGATTAGTCCTCTGCAAGACCTGGTGTGTGGCATTCCCCTGTAGGGGGTGGTAGAAGGTGTTCAGAGAGAGGCTCAGGCTCGGGCATCCTCCTCGGGTCCAAATCCTCTGGACACCAGAGTGAGAGTGGACAACCAGGCTTCTCCATCTCTCCATCTAACAAAGAGGTGTGGTTACATTTGTAAAGTGGGAATCCTGAGGTCCAGAGACAGGAGGGGACTCCAGGGACCCAGCCAGGAAAGGGACTGGCCCTCATGCCTCTCAAGGCCAGGCTGACACTGCCTTGAGGTCTGACGTGTCCCCTGCAGACTGGACCCTCGGAATAGGGGACCCCTCCCATGAGGACACCCCTCTTCCTACAACCTGAGGGAACAATGTTTCACTCTTCCCTCCTGATCAGGGAGAGTGGAGCTTCACTGTTCGCAGGCACCAAAGCGAGCCCAGTGGGAACAAGGGTTCATTTCTTCTTCCATCCACAGCTTCCCTCCCATCCCCATGGGAGGGGGTGGCTCTCAATTCCTTACCAGTCCTGCTCCACCTCCTCACCCTCTGGCAATATGGGAGCTTCTGGTTCCCCCTTTCATCCTGCTTGCTGGCCTCTGCTCTTGAACCAGGGTAGGACACCCCCTCCAAATCTCTCCCCTGGGGACTTCCTGGCAAGGTGTGCTCTTGGCCCCATGAACTAAGCAGGACCTGCCCCAGCTTGGCCAGTGATGAGAGCACAGACCCCATACCCCCTCCCTTGTATCGGTGGCTCCCCTGGCCATGCCCTTCATGAGGCTGTAGAAGAGCTCCACGCACCCCCACCCACAGCCCAAGTCAGGCCCTCCCACCTTTCCCAGCCCAGTCCTGCTTCAGCCCCTTGGGCAGACCCTCACTGGGAGGCAGGGAAAGGCCCAGACTTCCCTTAGAAAGCTGGAGTGCTCCAGGCTTCCCAGCAGCCCCCCAGGACTGAGATCCCTTAGACAGGGACACAGATGTCCTCCCCAGTGACAGGAGACTCTGGAGCCTGGAGGGGGAGAGGCAGCCATAGGAGGTAGAGCCTCCCACCCCGCAACCTGCCTTGTCCTGGCCAGGCTGCTGCCATTCGAGTTAGATGCTGTGCTCCTCTGCAGGTGGGGATCTCCTGGTAGCCTGCCTCCCTGACCCCAGACAGAGCCCCAGGCCCCAGGTCTAAGGGAATTCCTGGGTGTGGGTCTTAAGGTAGGTGGGGTCCCAACCCCACCCACCAGGGGGTGTACCGGCCTGTCATGGAGAGCAGTCACCTGCCCAGCACTTGGGATGGGGAGGTCTTGGCTCCCTGGCCCCCAGAGCCCAGCCCCTCCACAAGGCCTTTGCTCATGTTCCTGTCGGTGACTCACTGTGGCTAAGGAAACTGTTCTTTCTATTCCTTTTTAATTTTTTTTATGGTTTCTATTTTCCCTAGCAGCAGACATTGGGCCCAGATCCGAGCCATGTGCAAGCCTTCCCAGGGAAGTGACTTGCCAGAGCTGCCCCTAAGCCTTGGGCCTCCCTGCTTGACACACTCAACTGGGGGGAAGGGGGCAAATTCCAAGACAGAGTTTGGAGAATTGTGACTCAGGGGTTCTCAGAGGACATTTAAGAGTAAGCACTTGTTCATCCTACTGCTGCCAGGAATGGCCTGGGGACTTGGTAGGGTGAGGCTGGCACAGGGACAGGCTCTGGGAGCCCAGGGGGGTGGACCTGGTCTCTGAGGGGCATGACAAGAGCTGAGAGACAGCAGACTGTGAATGCTGAAGCCTGTGCTGGGCGTGGCACAGGGGCAAGAACTCTGATCTGCACCTTTGGTGGGGAGGCAGCTGGGAAGCAGTGAGGGTTAGTGGGTGTCATCTGGTGGCTGGCAGGGCAGAGCTGGGATTCAACCTGGGTACCAACTCCAGACACAGTCCCACTGCTGTTTCAGGCATGAACAAGGGTGAGCCAGAGAGCAGCAAGGGAAGGGCCCTGAATGGAGGAGGTGAGTGGAGGTAGAGTGCCCTATCCCAGTCCCTGCAGCCAGCAGCCCCCACCATGCCCCCGCCTGCTGCCTGCTCAGGCTGGCCGGCACCACCAGGGTGCATCCTGACCTGCTCTTCCTCTTTGCCTTCAACCCCTGTTTATCGATCATGCCACGAATCGTAGGCTCTTCCACCTGACCACTTCACTGGGCCAAACCTCACTGGTGACCTTAGCTCAGGGCCAACTGCTGCCAGTGCTCCAGGTGATCTTTTTCTTGCTCCCTCATTCCTTCAGAGAGGAATGTCCTGGGAGCTCTGGCCTTAGATGCAAGGCCCATGTGGGGCTAGCCGACATCTTCCCTTGGTGAAGCCTTGTGGAAACACCACCTACACATCTGACTGTGCCAGCACTCCAATATTCTAAGTCAACACTGGGATTCTCTGACCTTGGTAGGTACCTCCAGACTTGCCAACAGATCCTGGGACTCTCCCACTGCCCAACTATGTGCCCCGGGGCCCACGTGGTGGCTGGAGCTACTGTAAACACAGGTTTTAAAACTGAGTCTGGTGAAAGGAGAGAGAAGGCTGTTTGTCCCACATTTGGGTCTCAGGTGGGAATGTACCCCTAAAGGTGAAGCAGTGTGCACTGTGGGAAATAGAACAAGTGTTGGGGAGGGTACCTGTGCCTGTGCGGGCAGCAGGTGGCTATCCTGGTAGGCTCAGCACAAGGCTTGGGTTGGGGCACAGTCCTCTCAATCCAGCTGGTCCAAGTCTCCAGGGACAATGTCTGATATCCTATGGCTTTGTGGCCCCCATGTCTTCCACAGAGCTGGGCTTACTGGCTTTGCCCCTAAAATCTTCCCTTGATCTGACCTGGCTTCACTGGAGGCCACAACACCTGCTAGAGAGGCCAGATCAGCAGGCTGCTGCCTCCCTCCTCTTTGCAGAGTTCTTAATTTGGGATCCAGGCATCCCTTCCTGGGCTGCTGAGAGGGCAGACATGGGCAAGAAACCCTTGAATTTGTTGAGGAATCTCTGTGTGAGTGCTGAGTCCCTCAACACCCCTGACAGGCACCAGTTCCTTTGAACTGTACAGACACTAATAACGTTTGAAAGGAATTTCTTCCCTCCCTGCTTCATCTCTATCCCTCCAAACTTTGGCCTTGTATGGAGGACCTGGGAAGGGAGGACGACCTTCCCTGGAGCTCCTACCCCAGCAGGGCAGATGCGCTGCGCTGAGGGCAGGTGGGCACCTCCCCAACACCCCCAGAGTGACTTCTCAAAGTGCTGTCTCTTCCAGAATCAGCACAAGGCCCGTCTGCTGTGGACATTGGCAGTTAGCTGGAGGTCAGAATGAAGGCCAGGGAGAGTTCACATAGGTGGCTGCCAAGGCCCCAAACAGGGATGTATGTGTTGGCCAGGCCCCTTGCAGCCCTTCTATGGCCCCGCGATGGGGAGGGTCCTGGAAGCAGCTGGGCTGTGCTACCAGGCTTCCCAGTCCCAACCCGCGGGCTCGGGGGAGGCGCCACGGACAGCGGGGGAGGGGCGACGGCCCCCTCGCCCTAAGGACCTCCCATCCCTCCGACTCTCCCTCCTCCCAGACCCTCCTTCCTAGGCGCAGACCTCCAGCCCGGTACCCCAGCTGCAGTTCCCGCTTAGGGACGTGCCCAGCGCGGGCTCCCGGACTGCTTGGCCCCCCCGCAGCCCCCCCGTCCACGCCCGGCTCCTCCTCCTCCTTCCCCGAGGTGAGGGAGTCGGCTCCGGAAGCCCCGGCGCCCCCGCCCTGAACTCCACTGGCGCTTTGGAGAGGGCGGTCCGCGCTGGATTGCGCCACGAGGAGCCGGAGCTCCCAGCCGCCGCCAGTGCCTCAGAATCCCCCGACCGCCGCTGAGCCCCACCGATCCCGGGCCCCCTCCCCCGCCCACCCCTTCCCGGAACCCCCCACAGAACCCGAGCCCCCGCGCCCCTGCATCCCGGGCGCGCCACGGCCATGGCCATGCGCGGGGCGCCCCTGCTCGGCTGCCTCCTGGTGCTGCTGGCGCTGTGCCCCGGGGGGCGCCCGCAGACGGTGCTGACCGACGACGAGATAGAGGAGTTCCTGGAGGGCTTCCTGTCGGAGCTGGAGCCTGAGTTCAGGGAGGACGACGTGGAGGCCCCGCCGCCCCCCGAGCCCACCCTGCGTGTCCGCAAGGCCCAGACGGGGGTGGCCAGAGAGGGTAAGCCAAGTAGGGTGTTGGGCTGATGGGGCCTCGGGAGCCCGCACCTTGGGTGAGTGGGGACCCGCGGAACTTGGCCGCGTTCCGGTCTGCCCAGCAAGCCAGCGCGCTGAGGCGCAGGAGCTAGAGGTCCGACGGGCCCCTGCCAGGTCAGGGGTCAGTGCTGGCTTGTAGCCCTTTGGGCAAGGAGACGCATCCAGTGGATTCGTGACCCAGGGACTTAGGATACCCTGTCCTTCACCCCCAGCCCCTCAAAGGGACTGAGCTTGACCCCACAGGGACTTTGCTGCCCCCTCCCCAGATCACAGCTGCTGTCCTGGTGGGGCCACTCGCCCTGTGGGCACACACTGGCTATGTCCACACCACTACCAGAGCCCCAGCCTCAGGCCTTCCCTCGGAAGGGTCGCCAGCGCTCTCCTGCCTGGCCTCCTCCTACTCCAGGAGCCCAGAGGCAGGCAAGGGGCCTGCAGAAGATCCCCTCCCCATAAGCCTTCCAGGAGCAGCGGGCAATGGGAAGTCCAGGGAATTAAATGGGGTGATGTGTCACCAAAGCATTCAGCCCAGGGCCTCTTACATAATCCCTTGTCAGTAAATCTCAACTGTTTATTGGGACCTTCTGGAGTGGGACATGGATCTGGTTGATTTTTCTCCCAGGAGACTACAAGGTATCACCCACCATTCCTGGTCAGAATCCTGTCTTCCGTATGCCCCTTTAGCTTCTTCCTGACTGCCCCTCCCAGAGCTGAGGGTGGGGCCTGGGAGCCCCCCTCCTTGTCCCACTGCAGTTTCCCTTGGTGTCCGACCTCTGTGTGCTGCGGTGGCAGCAGTTTCTCCTTGCTGTCTGCATTTTGTACATTTCCCTGTGTTTTGGCCTGTGGCCCCAGCCCCCATTAAATTCTCAATAGCATTTGCTCAGGGTCCTGGAGTGGCAGCCAGCACCTCCTGCCCCTGTGTCCTTTCTGTGGCCCTAGGACACCTACTGGTTATGGCTTCCAGCCTACCCCAGACCCCTCACTTCTGCACAGGAACATGAGTGTCCCTTCTCCCTGAGGCTCTTCTTGGCCCTGCAGGGCACTTTGGGGCAGCCCTGGCCCTGCCCTTCACTCTGTGTGGCAGTTGGCAGGGCTGGGACCTCCTCGTTCTTAGGCCAGGCACTTCCCCAGGCCTGGTGGGCTTAGTTGCCTCTGCCTGTTCTGTGCTCAGCACAGCATAGCACTCCCTGACCGGCTGAGTGGACAAGTGAGGAGGGCCTATCATAGGTCATAAATTTGGCAGGTGGGGGATGAGGGCCCACTCCCTGGGAGCTGAGCCACCCAAGCCAAGATCTAGTGATGGCACAGACTTGCAGACAGAAAGCCTGGGTTCCAATCCCAGCTCTACCACAAGGGCAAGTGACTTAACCTCTCAGTTTCCCAACCCAGAAAATGGAATGAACAAGAGCGTGCTCAGCTTGTGGGACACAGACCACATGTGAGAGGGGGCTTTCCATTGATTTGACTTAAGTCTGCATCTTGGACAGCGCCTTTAGAAAAGGCCAAAGACAGAGGAAAGAAAGGGAAGGATAAAGGCCCCAAGACCACCAAGAAACCCCTGGAAGGGTCCCCCAGGCCACCCAAGAAGCCCAAGGAGAAGCTACCCAAGGCCACCAAGAGGCCCAAGGAGAAGCCACCTAAGGCCACCAAGAAGCCCCTGGAAGGGTCTCTGAGACCACCCAAGAAGCTCAAGGAGAAGCCACCCAAGGCCACCAAAAAGCCCAGGGAGAAGCCACCCAAGGCCACCAAGAGGCCCCTGGCTGGCAAGAGGCCTCCCACTCTGACCCCCTTGGAAACCCCGTGGTGGCCACTGCCCCTACCCCCTAGCTCCAGCCCTGAGGAGCTGCCGCAGGAGGGAGGTATGTGCTGGAATCTCCTGTGCTGGTGGGTCTCTGGCCTGCTGGGCTGTGGGGAGGGAGGTGGTGCAAGTCCCTGGGGCTTTGTTCCTGCAGATCATCAGGGCTGCCCAGACAGGGCGGGCTCTGGGGACTGTCATAACTGTGGCGATTTAGTCGGAGCCCCTTTAGTGCAGCTGCCTCCCTGGGCAGGGGAGCCTAAGCAGCCCTGTCCAGTGATGTGCTCTCCCTGTCCTGGGAGCTGTCCCCAGGGCCCCACCCAGAGCTACCCTCTGGTATGTTGCTGGGTTCTGAGCTTGCAGGGTGCCCCCCTGCTGGGGTGGCTTTGCTTCAGGGGTTCCCAGATAGTAGGGCTTGGGCTCCCAAGAAAGTCCTCAAGCTCTCTGGCTCTGGGGATGCCAGCAGAGTGAAGCCAGAGTGGCCCAGGCCTCCAGGAGTGAGCTGGGCCTCGGGGTGTCAGCAGGGTCCAGGTCTTGGTGCAGTGAGGGTGGTCAGAGCAGGCCTTTGGGGTTTGCGTTGCAGGTGGGGCCCTCCCACATCCCTGGCAGGGTCCAGGAGGAGAGACTGATGGGGATCATCAGCCTGGTGAGCGGGCATGTCCACCTGGCCTTGGAGACCAAGCACCTAGACTCGGGTCTCCAGGGTGGGGGTGCCAGGGGTGTTTTCAACAAGGAGGCATGAGCATTTCCCCCCAGAGCCAGAGGAGGTGACCGAGCAGCCCACGCTGGACTACAACGACCAGATAGAGAGGGAGGATTACGAGGACTGTGAGTAGGATCCTGCTGGCAGGGAACAGCTGGCCCTGTCAGAACCCTGACCCCCAGCCAGAGCCCTCTGATGATCCACTCAGAGGCCCCTCCCAGCCCCACCACCCGCTGAGGAGGGGCCTTGCCTAGCTCAGAGCCCATACTCCCCCCTCAGTTGAGTACATCCGGCGCCAGAAGCAGCCCAGGCCACCCCCACGGAGGAAGCCCCAGAAGCCAGAGCCTGGGCACCCTGAGAAGGAGAGCCAGCCTCCCCGGCGCAGGGCTGAGGCCCCCGAGGAGGGGATCGGTAGGACAGGGGCAAATGGGAGAGGAAGTGCTGGGTGAGGGAGCCTCTGGGCCCACCCCTGCCTCCTACCTCCACAGAGCCACCTCTGAAGCCACTGTCACTCCCACCACCCCCCGACTATGGGGATGGCTATGTGATCCCTAACTACGATGACAGTGAGTGTCCTCCCATCCCAGGCTCTCGCTACCATGGAACTCCAGCCTGGTGGCAGTGTGCCCAGGTCCCTGCTGCCCGGAACCACCTGGTTTCGCTGGCCTGTGCTCTGTTCCTACCCCCAAGTCCCTTATAGGTCCTGCCCACCCCTTCCTTAGAGGAGCCCCACCCCTACCAGGCCTTCCTTCCCTGCACCACTGGGCAATCACCTCAACAGTTCTTTGCCACATCAATCCATCTGGCCCTTGACTCCACCTCCACCCTTAAGACCCCCTTCCTGGTCACTCAAGACCTGTCCCCTACATGCCTACTCTCTGCCCAGCCTTGTCCCACCCTCGGCAGGTCATGCCCTCTCCAGGGTCATGCTGACCCCCCTGTACCCAGGGCCCCTCTAGCAGGCTCCACCTCCCTCCCCTTAGCCTACCCCCATGCCACCCCCTCGGCTGGCCCTCCCTTCTGCCCAGTCGCGCTCTGGGGTCACGTGAACCAAGGGCCTCTGGCTCACATGGTGGGGCCCTGAGGCAGCATCTGGTACGCCTCATGTGGCTCTCCCTCCCCGAAGTGGACTATTACTTCCAGCTCCCCAGGCCCCAGAAGCCTGACTCTGACTTGGAGACAGACGAGGAAAAGGAGGGGCTGAGTGAGTGGACCAAGTTGTTTGCACCCCCAAGCTCAGCCTGACCTGCACCCACACCTGTCCCCAGTCCAAGCCTGACCCCCACCCATCTGCCCCCAGTGCATGCTTGACCCTTTCCCCACATGTCCCCTGAAGCCCAGACCTAAGGTTACAGGCTCCTCCCACCTTTCACCCTTCAGAGAAACCCAGAAAGGAGGGCAGCAACCCCAAGAAAGAGGAACCAGATGACAAATGGACAGTGGAGAAGGGCAAGGACCATAAAGGTAGGGGGCTAGGAGCCAGAACCACAAGATCTGGGTCCCTGTGGGGAACACTGTGCCCTCCACCCTGAGGCTCTGGGACCCTATGCGCCACCTCCCCAACTGTTTCCCCCAGGACCACAGAAGGGTGAGGAGTTGGAGGAGTGGGTGCCAACAGAAAGAGTCAGTGAGTGAGGGGCCCTGGGGCACGACGATGGGGGTGAGTGGGGGACTGGTGTAGCAGAGGGCTAGGGTTGGTACTTGGGGGCTGGGGAGCCGGGCAGCAGCAGGGTAGGATGTTGGGGAAAGCGGCCTGACCCAGGCCATATGTGGGTCCCAAACCCAGATTTCCTGACAGTGCCTCAGACTTCCAGAACCTTTTCCAGCTCTTAAATTCTTGGGGCTCAGAGCTTGTGGCACATGGCAGGTGTGTGGATGGCCCCAGTGTAGGGTATGGGTGACGCTTATGACTCACTCTCCCTGATTTCAAGTGGCTCTGGGAAGTCAGGCATCATCAGCCTGACCCCACATGGGGCAGAGCTGCCATGACTGGTGCCCAGGATAGGCAGGGACTCTGGGCTCCTCAGTGCTGGGTTTGGTGGGGGGAGGGATGGAGCTAGCAGGCACCCAGCCTTGGATGCACATCCCCAGAGTGCCCCCCCATCGGGATGGAGTCACACCGCATTGAGGACAACCAGATCCGGGCATCCTCCATGCTGCGCCATGGTCTGGGGGCTCAGCGTGGCCGGCTCAACATGCAGGTGGGTGTCAGCATGGCTCCATCTCCCAGCTGCCCAGGGGCCTGTCCCCCAACTCAGCTCCCACCACCCGGACAGGCTGGAGCCACTGAGGATGACTACTATGATGGGGCATGGTGTGCCGAGGATGACCCTCAGACCCAATGGATCGAGGTGGACACCAGAAGGACCACCAGGTTCACAGGCGTCATCACCCAGGGGCGCGACTCCAGCATTCAGTACGTCAGCCAGGCTCACAGGCACTTGGTGGGTGGCGGCTCCAGGCATGGCTGGGTCCCACTTGAGACACTGCTCAAGGCCCTGCTCCTTCTTGACGGTCATGGCCAGTCAGCTCCCTGTGCCCAAATGAGCGATCACCTATCCATACCCATACAGTGGGCATGGGAGCTACCCTGACCCCCAGTGAGCACCACATGCCCATTCTAGCCCAGAAGACAGGGCTGGGGCTGCCTGAGTGCCTGGGACTGGTGTGGAGGGCAGCCTGTCCTGACCCCCATCTGCTTCCCAGTGACGACTTTGTGACCTCCTTCTTCGTGGGCTTCAGCAATGACAGCCAGACGTGGGTGATGTATACCAATGGCTACGAGGAGATGGTAGGTGCTCAAGACCTCTGCCCACCCCCTGGTACCTGGGAGGGTGGCCTCTCAGCTAGGGGGCTGCTTTGAGGCCTGCCTCTCCTCAGACCTTCCACGGGAATGTGGACAAGGACACGCCCGTGCTGAGTGAGCTCCCGGAGCCAGTGGTGTCCCGCTTCATCCGCATCTACCCCCTCACCTGGAATGGCAGCCTGTGCATGCGTCTGGAGGTGCTGGGATGCCCGGTGTCCCGTGAGTGCAGGGCTCAGGGACTTGGAGGGCGGAGGGTTCCTGGGAAAGCAGGCAGGCAGGGGGCCTGCTCAGGCCCCGCCTGCCGCCCTCTGCAGCAGTCCATAGCTATTATACACAGAATGAGGTAGTGACCACAGACGACCTGGACTTCCGGCACCACAGCCACAAGGACATGCGCCAGGTGCGGCACAGTGGGGCCCTGTCCCTGGGTTCTGGGACCTCTGCCCCACCTGGACACACAGGCCCTCACCTTGGGGAGGGGGCCCCAAGGCCTCTCCCTGAAGCACCAGCACCCCAGATGGCTGGTTCCTAGTAGGGGCCTCTCCTCCCAGAGGCCTACCCCATGGACAGGCCATCTCCAAGAGAGGGCTGCCTCTGTGGGCTGGGTGCAGGCAGGCCGCATAACTTGGGGTGCTCTGCCCACTCAGCTGATGAAGGTGGTGAATGCGGAGTGCCCCACCATCACCCGCACATACAGCCTGGGAAAGAGCTCTCGTGGGCTCAAGATCTACGCCATGGAGATCTCAGACAACCCCGGGGATCATGAACTGGGTGAGGCCCCCATGGCTCTTGGGGCCCAGCCCTCCCACCTACAGATTAGAGGCAAGGCCCTGGCATTGTGGCTGGGCCTGCGCCTTTGGTGTTCCCAGCTCACTACCTCTTCCTGTCCTGGGAGTCTCTCTAGGTGTCCCAGGCTGTTTTGCTGGGCCCTACAAGTGTCGGCTGCCTTCAGCCCCTGGAAGTGAGCCACTTTGAGTCCTTCCTCAGAGCCCTCTTTTTTCATGTATAAATGAGTCATCCTCAAGAGGGCCTTGGGAGACAGGGTAGATGCTGAGGCTCCTGCCCTTGCAGGAGAACCTGAATTCCGCTACACAGCCGGGATCCATGGCAATGAGGTGCTGGGCCGGGAGCTGCTGCTACAGCTCATGCAGTACCTGTGCCACGAGTACCGCGATGGGAACCCCCGTGTGCGCAGCTTGGTGCATGACACGCGCATCCACCTGGTGCCCTCGCTCAACCCTGATGGCTATGAGGTGGCATCGCAGATGGTGGGTGGGGAATCGGGGCTCAGAGGGTTGGGGTGCTACTGGGGTGGGGTCAGTGTCATATTGCACGGGAACTGGGGCAGGCCACTGACTCTGATCCTGCTGGCTCCCCAGGGCTCTGAGTTTGGGAACTGGGCGCTGGGGCTGTGGACCGAGGAGGGCTTTGACATCTACGAAGACTTCCCAGATCTCAACTCTGTGCTCTGGGGAGCTGAGGAGAGGAAGTGGGTCCCGTACCGGGTCCCCAACAATAACCTGCCCATCCCTGAACGCTACCTCTCCCCAGATGCCACGGTGAGGCAGCAGACTGGCCAGCAGGGTCTGGCAGAGCCTGAGTCGCTGGGGGAGACTTGGGGTGGGTCAGTAGGTGACCAAGGCTGAGGGGGACAGAGAAGGGATGTGGGTCCCAGTATGGGGTCTGCACAGAGGGTGAACCAGAATGGGATCTGCATGGAGGGTGATGGAGGCTGCCCCCAGGTGTCCACAGAGGTCCGGGCCATCATCACTTGGATGGAGAAGCACCCCTTCGTGCTTGGGGCGAACCTGAATGGTGGCGAGAGGCTTGTGTCCTACCCCTACGACATGGCCCGCACGCCCAGCCAGGAGCAGCTGCTGGCTGCAGCCATGGCGGCTGCCCGTGGAGAAGATGAGGATGAGGTATCCGAAGCCCAGGAGACCCCAGACCATGCCATCTTCCGCTGGCTGGCCATCTCCTTTGCCTCTGCCCACCTCACCATGACTGAGCCCTACCGGGGAGGCTGCCAAGCACAGGACTACACAAACGGCATGGGCATCATCAATGGGGCCAAGTGGAAGCCCCGATCTGGGAGTGAGTCAGCCCTGGGGGCTGGGGTGGGGTGTTTGTTGCAGGGCAGGAGTGACAGGCTATCTGCCCTGCTCAGCTATGAACGACTTCAGTTACCTGCACACCAACTGCCTGGAGCTCTCCATCTACCTGGGCTGTGACAAGTTCCCCCATGAGAGCGAGCTGCCCCGGGAGTGGGAAAACAACAAGGAGGCACTGCTCACCTTCATGGAGCAGGTGGGGGGCAGGGCCCGGGAGGTAGGGAGCCCAGGACTCCCATCGTTGCTGTGGCCACCCACTTGCCTCCTCCCTGCAGGTTCACCGAGGCATCAAGGGCGTGGTGACTGATGAGCAAGGCATCCCTATTGCCAACGCCACCATCTCTGTGGGCGGCATCAATCACGGCGTGAAAACAGGTACTTTGTGTGCACACCTACACTACCTTCCAAGGTGGGCACCTAGTCTGTAGCCCCTGAAGGTGGCCTGCCCCAGGTAGAGGGAGGGCCGGGCCTGAGCGGAGGCACCTGGGAAGCAAACCTGTCTTCCCTTTGCAGCAGGAGGTGGTGATTACTGGCGTATCTTGAACCCGGGTGAGTACCGCGTGACAGCCCACGCAGAGGGCTACACTCCCAGTGCCAAGACCTGCAACGTGGATTATGACATCGGGGCCACTCAGTGCAATTTCATCCTGGCTCGCTCCAACTGGAAGCGCATCCGGGAGATCATAGCCATGAACGGGAACCGACCCATACTGCGCATTGACCCCTCACGCCCCATGACCCCTGAGCAGCGCCGCATACAGCGCCGCCGCCTGCAGTACCGGCTGCGAATGCGCGAGCAGATGCGGCTCCGGCGCCTCAACGCCACTGTGAGCCCAGTGCACCCGACCCCGACCCTCTCCCCCACCCACTCCCTGGCCCCCGGCCCCACCCCCAGCGTCGGGCCCTGGCACTCTACGGCGGCCCCCACAGCTGCCTGGGAGGAGGCAGAGACCGAGACCTACACGGAGGTGGTGACGGAGTTTGCAACGGAGCCGGGGCCCGAGGAGGAGAAGGTGGTCCTGGGCCCAGAATTGTTCTTCACCACAGCCGAGACTTACACAGTGAATTTCGGGGAATTTTGAGGCAGGTCTGCCCACGCCCACACCCATGCTGGTGTCATGTCGCCACAGCTGGCCTGGAGCCATCAGGGCAGGGGAGGCCCCTGGTGTGGACCAGGCCAGGAGAGGATGTGACGAGACCAAGACTTAAAGATCAGGGTCTACCCTGCCTGCCAGCCTCAGAGAAGAGGGGCCACCACAGTGCAGGGTGGGGGCAGGCTGAGTAAACCCAGGGCCTTCAGCCACCTGCCCAGGCAACACCAATAAACCAAGCTCATGGCAGACATGTTGCTGGTCACTCACTGTTCTGGTCAGTGAAGGGCAGAGAGGAGGGAGACTTCCATCACGTGGGCGCATCTACAGCAGCACTCTGGTCCAGCACCACATCTGCCCTAACTAACACCAGTGGAACTAACACCAGTGGCTAGTCGGGTTTTTATTATAAAGCTAATGCTGCAGGGGTGCCATTGCAGGGGATGAACGGCTGGACCTCTCTGGACAAGGCAGCCTTGTGAGTCAGGAGCACAGACTGAAGCCCTCCAAGTCCTCCTCCTCTTCCCCAAAGCCCGAGAAGCTGATGGGCTGGCAGGCCAGGCTGCGTAGGTTCACAAGGCACGCGGTCTGTGTGGTACTGAAGTCTGGGACAGCCACCAAGAGCACCCTTTGGCCCTCAGGGCCTGGGAGGAAGCCAGCAGGAGCCCAGCTCAGGCTGTGGGTGAACCCCACCTCAAAGGGAAGTCCCCAGAAGTAAACAGGGTCCCCATCAACACTGGGGGAGTGCTGGCCACAGATACACTGATCAGAGATGAGCTCTGACACCACTACTGGAGGGGCAGCTCAGCCCCTGCTCCAGCATGTGGTCAGCAGGCCCCCAGGTAGCACCCAGATGCCCACCCAATGGGGTGGGCCTGGGGGCTCCCATGTGGGTTTTCTTCTCTGTGAGCCTCATCCCCATTAGAGTGCGAGTCCCTTGTGACAGCCCAGATCTGTAGCTCCCCAGTGGGATTTACCTTGGAAGATTCTGGAGCCAAAGCTGGGGGTGTTACCACAGAAGTAGACGTGAGGGCATTCCAGGAGGATGAACGGGTCGATTTTGTAGAATGGGTAACAACCTGGAGAGGCAGGCCGGCAGCTGAGCACAGGGCTTCTCACCCCAGCCCACAGACACATGGCAGGGGATGACAGATGGATGTGGGCACCACCCCTGCCCACATGCTTTGTGTTTTTTTTTTTTCTTGTACATGGTTCTTTTAGCCAGTGGCAGCCTCACCAGAGTCATGACAAAGCCACCTGACACTGCTGAGCAGCGCCAGGGCAGGTCCGCATGCCCCACTGCTCTTGCCTGACTGGGTGTGCATGGGGCAGGGTGCCACACGCTGACCAACTTGGCTGTCACCCCTAAAGAAGGCCGTGGTCATCATCAGAGGTAGATTCCACAGAGCATCCAGGAAAGTGTCAGGCTCCTGGACTTTTCCTCAGACAGGTCACAGCAGGCAGATGAGGGTAAATCCATGCTGCCAGTGCTGTGAGGTCAGGGGTCCCAGCGGCCCAGCACCGTTACCTAGAGTGTCGGNTGACCCCCCTGTACCCAGGGCCCCTCTAGCAGGCTCCACCTCCCTCCCCTTAGCCTACCCCCATGCCACCCCCTCGGCTGGCCCTCCCTTCTGCCCAGTCGCGCTCTGGGGTCACGTGAACCAAGGGCCTCTGGCTCACATGGTGGGGCCCTGAGGCAGCATCTGGTATGCCTCATGTGGCTCTCCCTCCCCGAAGTGGACTATTACTTCCAGCTCCCCAGGCCCCAGAAGCCTGACTCTGACTTGGAGACAGACGAGGAAAAGGAGGGGCTGAGTGAGTGGACCAAGTTGTTTGCACCCCCAAGCTCAGCCTGACCTGCACCCACACCTGTCCCCAGTCCAAGCCTGACCCCCACCCATCTGCCCCCAGTGCATGCTTGACCCTTTCCCCACATGTCCCCTGAAGCCCAGACCTAAGGTTACAGGCTCCTCCCACCTTTCACCCTTCAGAGAAACCCAGAAAGGAGGGCAGCAACCCCAAGAAAGAGGAACCAGATGACAAATGGACAGTGGAGAAGGGCAAGGACCATAAAGGTAGGGGGCTAGGAGCCAGAACCACAAGATCTGGGTCCCTGTGGGGAACACTGTGCCCTCCACCCTGAGGCTCTGGGACCCTATGCGCCACCTCCCCAACTGTTTCCCCCAGGACCACAGAAGGGTGAGGAGTTGGAGGAGTGGGTGCCAACAGAAAGAGTCAGTGAGTGAGGGGCCCTGGGGCACGACGATGGGGGTGAGTGGGGGACTGGTGTAGCAGAGGGCTAGGGTTGGTACTTGGGGGCTGGGGAGCCGGGCAGCAGCAGGGTAGGATGTTGGGGAAAGCGGCCTGACCCAGGCCATATGTGGGTCCCAAACCCAGATTTCCTGACAGTGCCTCAGACTTCCAGAACCTTTTCCAGCTCTTAAATTCTTGGGGCTCAGAGCTTGTGGCACATGGCAGGTGTGTGGATGGCCCCAGTGTAGGGTATGGGTGACGCTTATGACTCACTCTCCCTGATTTCAAGTGGCTCTGGGAAGTCAGGCATCATCAGCCTGACCCCACATGGGGCAGAGCTGCCATGACTGGTGCCCAGGATAGGCAGGGACTCTGGGCTCCTCAGTGCTGGGTTTGGTGGGGGGAGGGATGGAGCTAGCAGGCACCCAGCCTTGGATGCACATCCCCAGAGTGCCCCCCCATCGGGATGGAGTCACACCGCATTGAGGACAACCAGATCCGGGCATCCTCCATGCTGCGCCATGGTCTGGGGGCTCAGCGTGGCCGGCTCAACATGCAGGTGGGTGTCAGCATGGCTCCATCTCCCAGCTGCCCAGGGGCCTGTCCCCCAACTCAGCTCCCACCACCCGGACAGGCTGGAGCCACTGAGGATGACTACTATGATGGGGCATGGTGTGCCGAGGATGACCCTCAGACCCAATGGATCGAGGTGGACACCAGAAGGACCACCAGGTTCACAGGCGTCATCACCCAGGGGCGCGACTCCAGCATTCAGTACGTCAGCCAGGCTCACAGGCACTTGGTGGGTGGCGGCTCCAGGCATGGCTGGGTCCCACTTGAGACACTGCTCAAGGCCCTGCTCCTTCTTGACGGTCATGGCCAGTCAGCTCCCTGTGCCCAAATGAGCGATCACCTATCCATACCCATACAGTGGGCATGGGAGCTACCCTGACCCCCAGTGAGCACCACATGCCCATTCTAGCCCAGAAGACAGGGCTGGGGCTGCCTGAGTGCCTGGGACTGGTGTGGAGGGCAGCCTGTCCTGACCCCCATCTGCTTCCCAGTGACGACTTTGTGACCTCCTTCTTCGTGGGCTTCAGCAATGACAGCCAGACGTGGGTGATGTATACCAATGGCTACGAGGAGATGGTAGGTGCTCAAGACCTCTGCCCACCCCCTGGTACCTGGGAGGGTGGCCTCTCAGCTAGGGGGCTGCTTTGAGGCCTGCCTCTCCTCAGACCTTCCACGGGAATGTGGACAAGGACACGCCCGTGCTGAGTGAGCTCCCGGAGCCAGTGGTGTCCCGCTTCATCCGCATCTACCCCCTCACCTGGAATGGCAGCCTGTGCATGCGTCTGGAGGTGCTGGGATGCCCGGTGTCCCGTGAGTGCAGGGCTCAGGGACTTGGAGGGCGGAGGGTTCCTGGGAAAGCAGGCAGGCAGGGGGCCTGCTCAGGCCCCGCCTGCCGCCCTCTGCAGCAGTCCATAGCTATTATACACAGAATGAGGTAGTGACCACAGACGACCTGGACTTCCGGCACCACAGCCACAAGGACATGCGCCAGGTGCGGCACAGTGGGGCCCTGTCCCTGGGTTCTGGGACCTCTGCCCCACCTGGACACACAGGCCCTCACCTTGGGGAGGGGGCCCCAAGGCCTCTCCCTGAAGCACCAGCACCCCAGATGGCTGGTTCCTAGTAGGGGCCTCTCCTCCCAGAGGCCTACCCCATGGACAGGCCATCTCCAAGAGAGGGCTGCCTCTGTGGGCTGGGTGCAGGCAGGCCGCATAACTTGGGGTGCTCTGCCCACTCAGCTGATGAAGGTGGTGAATGCGGAGTGCCCCACCATCACCCGCACATACAGCCTGGGAAAGAGCTCTCGTGGGCTCAAGATCTACGCCATGGAGATCTCAGACAACCCCGGGGATCATGAACTGGGTGAGGCCCCCATGGCTCTTGGGGCCCAGCCCTCCCACCTACAGATTAGAGGCAAGGCCCTGGCATTGTGGCTGGGCCTGCGCCTTTGGTGTTCCCAGCTCACTACCTCTTCCTGTCCTGGGAGTCTCTCTAGGTGTCCCAGGCTGTTTTGCTGGGCCCTACAAGTGTCGGCTGCCTTCAGCCCCTGGAAGTGAGCCACTTTGAGTCCTTCCTCAGAGCCCTCTTTTTTCATGTATAAATGAGTCATCCTCAAGAGGGCCTTGGGAGACAGGGTAGATGCTGAGGCTCCTGCCCTTGCAGGAGAACCTGAATTCCGCTACACAGCCGGGATCCATGGCAATGAGGTGCTGGGCCGGGAGCTGCTGCTACAGCTCATGCAGTACCTGTGCCACGAGTACCGCGATGGGAACCCCCGTGTGCGCAGCTTGGTGCATGACACGCGCATCCACCTGGTGCCCTCGCTCAACCCTGATGGCTATGAGGTGGCATCGCAGATGGTGGGTGGGGAATCGGGGCTCAGAGGGTTGGGGTGCTACTGGGGTGGGGTCAGTGTCATATTGCACGGGAACTGGGGCAGGCCACTGACTCTGATCCTGCTGGCTCCCCAGGGCTCTGAGTTTGGGAACTGGGCGCTGGGGCTGTGGACCGAGGAGGGCTTTGACATCTACGAAGACTTCCCAGATCTCAACTCTGTGCTCTGGGGAGCTGAGGAGAGGAAGTGGGTCCCGTACCGGGTCCCCAACAATAACCTGCCCATCCCTGAACGCTACCTCTCCCCAGATGCCACGGTGAGGCAGCAGACTGGCCAGCAGGGTCTGGCAGAGCCTGAGTCGCTGGGGGAGACTTGGGGTGGGTCAGTAGGTGACCAAGGCTGAGGGGGACAGAGAAGGGATGTGGGTCCCAGTATGGGGTCTGCACAGAGGGTGAACCAGAATGGGATCTGCATGGAGGGTGATGGAGGCTGCCCCCAGGTGTCCACAGAGGTCCGGGCCATCATCACTTGGATGGAGAAGCACCCCTTCGTGCTTGGGGCGAACCTGAATGGTGGCGAGAGGCTTGTGTCCTACCCCTACGACATGGCCCGCACGCCCAGCCAGGAGCAGCTGCTGGCTGCAGCCATGGCGGCTGCCCGTGGAGAAGATGAGGATGAGGTATCCGAAGCCCAGGAGACCCCAGACCATGCCATCTTCCGCTGGCTGGCCATCTCCTTTGCCTCTGCCCACCTCACCATGACTGAGCCCTACCGGGGAGGCTGCCAAGCACAGGACTACACAAACGGCATGGGCATCATCAATGGGGCCAAGTGGAAGCCCCGATCTGGGAGTGAGTCAGCCCTGGGGGCTGGGGTGGGGTGTTTGTTGCAGGGCAGGAGTGACAGGCTATCTGCCCTGCTCAGCTATGAACGACTTCAGTTACCTGCACACCAACTGCCTGGAGCTCTCCATCTACCTGGGCTGTGACAAGTTCCCCCATGAGAGCGAGCTGCCCCGGGAGTGGGAAAACAACAAGGAGGCACTGCTCACCTTCATGGAGCAGGTGGGGGGCAGGGCCCGGGAGGTAGGGAGCCCAGGACTCCCATCGTTGCTGTGGCCACCCACTTGCCTCCTCCCTGCAGGTTCACCGAGGCATCAAGGGCGTGGTGACTGATGAGCAAGGCATCCCTATTGCCAACGCCACCATCTCTGTGGGCGGCATCAATCACGGCGTGAAAACAGGTACTTTGTGTGCACACCTACACTACCTTCCAAGGTGGGCACCTAGTCTGTAGCCCCTGAAGGTGGCCTGCCCCAGGTAGAGGGAGGGCCGGGCCTGAGCGGAGGCACCTGGGAAGCAAACCTGTCTTCCCTTTGCAGCAGGAGGTGGTGATTACTGGCGTATCTTGAACCCGGGTGAGTACCGCGTGACAGCCCACGCAGAGGGCTACACTCCCAGTGCCAAGACCTGCAACGTGGATTATGACATCGGGGCCACTCAGTGCAATTTCATCCTGGCTCGCTCCAACTGGAAGCGCATCCGGGAGATCATAGCCATGAACGGGAACCGACCCATACTGCGCATTGACCCCTCACGCCCCATGACCCCTGAGCAGCGCCGCATACAGCGCCGCCGCCTGCAGTACCGGCTGCGAATGCGCGAGCAGATGCGGCTCCGGCGCCTCAACGCCACTGTGAGCCCAGTGCACCCGACCCCGACCCTCTCCCCCACCCACTCCCTGGCCCCCGGCCCCACCCCCAGCGTCGGGCCCTGGCACTCTACGGCGGCCCCCACAGCTGCCTGGGAGGAGGCAGAGACCGAGACCTACACGGAGGTGGTGACGGAGTTTGCAACGGAGCCGGGGCCCGAGGAGGAGAAGGTGGTCCTGGGCCCGGAATTGTTCTTCACCACAGCCGAGACTTACACAGTGAATTTCGGGGAATTTTGAGGCAGGTCTGCCCACGCCCACACCCATGCTGGTGTCATGTCGCCACAGCTGGCCTGGAGCCATCAGGGCAGGGGAGGCCCCTGGTGTGGACCAGGCCAGGAGAGGATGTGACGAGACCAAGACTTAAAGATCAGGGTCTACCCTGCCTGCCAGCCTCAGAGAAGAGGGGCCACCACAGTGCAGGGTGGGGGCAGGCTGAGTAAACCCAGGGCCTTCAGCCACCTGCCCAGGCAACACCAATAAACCAAGCTCATGGCAGACATGTTGCTGGTCACTCACTGTTCTGGTCAGTGAAGGGCAGAGAGGAGGGAGACTTCCATCACGTGGGCGCATCTACAGCAGCACTCTGGTCCAGCACCACATCTGCCCTAACTAACACCAGTGGAACTAACACCAGTGGCTAGTCGGGTTTTTATTATAAAGCTAATGCTGCAGGGGTGCCATTGCAGGGGATGAACGGCTGGACCTCTCTGGACAAGGCAGCCTTGTGAGTCAGGAGCACAGACTGAAGCCCTCCAAGTCCTCCTCCTCTTCCCCAAAGCCCGAGAAGCTGATGGGCTGGCAGGCCAGGCTGCGTAGGTTCACAAGGCACGCGGTCTGTGTGGTACTGAAGTCTGGGACAGCCACCAAGAGCACCCTTTGGCCCTCAGGGCCTGGGAGGAAGCCAGCAGGAGCCCAGCTCAGGCTGTGGGTGAACCCCACCTCAAAGGGAAGTCCCCAGAAGTAAACAGGGTCCCCATCAACACTGGGGGAGTGCTGGCCACAGATACACTGATCAGAGATGAGCTCTGACACCACTACTGGAGGGGCAGCTCAGCCCCTGCTCCAGCATGTGGTCAGCAGGCCCCCAGGTAGCACCCAGATGCCCACCCAATGGGGTGGGCCTGGGGGCTCCCATGTGGGTTTTCTTCTCTGTGAGCCTCATCCCCATTAGAGTGCGAGTCCCTTGTGACAGCCCAGATCTGTAGCTCCCCAGTGGGATTTACCTTGGAAGATTCTGGAGCCAAAGCTGGGGGTGTTACCACAGAAGTAGACGTGAGGGCATTCCAGGAGGATGAACGGGTCGATTTTGTAGAATGGGTAACAACCTGGAGAGGCAGGCCGGCAGCTGAGCACAGGGCTTCTCACCCCAGCCCACAGACACATGGCAGGGGATGACAGATGGATGTGGGCACCACCCCTGCCCACATGCTTTGTGTTTTTTTTTTTTCTTGTACATGGTTCTTTTAGCCAGTGGCAGCCTCACCAGAGTCATGACAAAGCCACCTGACACTGCTGAGCAGCGCCAGGGCAGGTCCGCATGCCCCACTGCTCTTGCCTGACTGGGTGTGCATGGGGCAGGGTGCCACACGCTGACCAACTTGGCTGTCACCCCTAAAGTAGGCCGTGGTCATCATCAGAGGTAGATTCCACAGAGCATCCAGGAAAGTGTCAGGCTCCTGGACTTTTCCTCAGACAGGTCACAGCAGGCAGATGAGGGTAAATCCATGCTGCCAGTGCTGTGAGGTCAGGGGTCCCAGCGGCCCAGCACCGTTACCTAGAGTGTCGGGGGCTGTGGGGCTGAGGTGGCGGACTCGCAGGGTCCACTCCAGGATCTCCACGTGATCCTCCATGCTGCTGTACCGGAAAATGTCCCTCACGTTCTGTCCGGACGTGCCCAGGAATCTGCAAGGCAAGGCTTGACTGACCCCCATCCTGGGGGCCGCCATCACCCTCCTCCCAGTGGCTGACCCAGAGCTCACTGGGCCCTCAGTGGGATGGTGTCCAAGTCACTGTGAGAAACAGCCTGATTCCAGGGGGGGCCTTCAAAGCCCTGGACCCAACCCTCCCCTCCTGATGCCACTGGGGCAAAAGGTTAGTGGAGTGTGGCCGTGCTGGCTACCTGACTCCATCGATGGTGGCCTGGTAGGGGTTGGTAACCAGCTGCAGCGTGGAGTAGGCAGTGGCCAGTGGGAACATGCAAGGGTGCAGTGGCTGCTGGGGGAGTGTGTAATTGGTCGGGTCAAATTCGCCTGGCATCACGTCCACGGGCACTGAGGCCTGGAGGGCAGAGGCATGAGAGTTCACTGGGCCCAGCACTGCCACCAGAAGGCCTGCCAGAACCCACACCCCTCCCCTGGCCCACCCACCCCAAAGACTCCCGTGACAGCCACTGGCCAGCACCCCTCACTCACACTCAGCTGCAGGAGGATCTCGTCCAGCATCTTGACGGCCTCCACACTGGCTGCCTGGGTTTTCTTGGTTAAGTACTTAGCCTAGGAGTAAAAGCCCATAGGCTGTCAGACCCCAAGACAGGCTCAGTTCAAAAGGATGTCCAGAGCCTCCGCCTGGGAGGCTGAGAGCAGAGCAAAGCACAGGCCCCCACTGCTTCAGAAAGCAGGGCCTGAGCAGATGCTGGGCCCCACCCCCACAGGCTGTCCCCAGGCACTGCAGGCTGCTGCCTCCAGACCATCCACCTGTGTCCAGCTGTCCATGAGCAGCTGGCTGCAGGCTGTACCTTGTTAATGGAGTCTCTGCCCTGGGTGCTGTGGCTGAGAAGGTTTCCAGCAAGGATGACCCGGGAGATGTGGGCGGCACTGCACTGCTCCCCTTCATCCCCAAGCTGCCCTGTCATCATGTCCACCAGCAGCTGGGTGCCCAGCAGACTCTCACCCCCGCCGCTGCCCAGGCCCAGGCCAGACACCAGCAGTACAAACCTAAAGAAGAAATTGGGGTCCCCCTGGGTGCCCAGAAGGCAGGTGCCTGCCATAGGTGTGCAGAGCCCTACCATAGTCATGGGTGAGCCAGAGAGACAGAGCCCAACAGCCCGGGCACCCACTCCTCACCTGTCTGTGTCCAGGGCAGGTGTGGGCTGCTGAAGGGCAAGCCCAGCGAAGCAGTGGTCCTCCACCTGGAATTTCCCATCCTCCCGCACTGAGCCGAGCACAGCCAGGACCGTCCCTGCAGAACAGCAACGTCAGGTCCTGGGGCCCAGGCCACCTCCTTCCAGTCATCCAGATAGCAAAACCAGCCGGCTCCTCCATTGTGCTGCAAACTCTCTCAGGACTTGGGACCAGCGTCTGCTTCTGGGATCACTGCCTTTGCAGGGAGGCAAGAAGAACTGGGCCCTCCTGGGTCACCTGCTCCTGAACCTCAGCCCATCGCCCCAGGAACAGACCTAGATGCACAGGCCACCCCCACCTGTGACCAGCTGTGACACATCAATGGTGCCTTCCAGTTTGATGCGCTGCAATTCATCCTCCAAGACCAGCTCATCGTCGGGGTGGATGTATTTGCTTCGAGGGGGCTGGGGAAGCAGGTTGTGCTGAAATTCGGAGATGGGAAGTCATTCTGGGACTCCAGTGCCGCCATTGTGAGATGGTACCACAGCCCCTATCCCTGGGCTCAAGGCAGGCAGGCCCATGGGAGCCCCTGGGGAGAGTTCTGGGGAGGCCTCACCTCCTCGCTGACCTCCCGCAGGATGGAGGGTTGGAGCGGCATGGCTTTGAAGAGGGTCCCCACCACACAGCACTTCTCCCCTGGCTGCAGCTCACACAGCTGCCTTATTTGGACTCCACTGCCTGGGGCACAAGAGGCAGGAGCTCAGAACCAGGTGGCCCTGGGGCAGCCTCACAGCATTGCAGCCCAGGCCTCTCCAGGAGTGAGAAAACATCCAGCACAAGGACCCCTTAGCCAGCAGGGCCCTTGAGACCCCAGGAGGACAGAGGGACCCTGGATGTGGCTGCACCCTGGATGCTGTGTCCTCATAAAAGAGACAGAGACAGCGAGGAAAGCCAGGCAGAGATGCAGGGATGCAGCTGCAAGCCCAGGAATGCTGGGCAGCCACCAGAAGAGCAGGAAGGATTCTTCCCCTAGAGCCTCTGGAATTGGGGAGGGAGGGCCTTGGAGTGAAGGACTTCAGACTCTGGTCTCCAGAACTGGGAAAGGATAAATTTTTGTGGTTTTCAGCCACTCAGTTCATGGCTTTGTTGTCTGTTAACCTCACTTACACCTAAAATTCTAACACTGGTTCTTAGAAAGAGGCATGCCAAGTCTAAACAAAGTCCTGCCCTTTCAGTTATTAATATTTAATTTTATTGTACTCTAAATTTTAAAATTAAAACTTAGTTTTTAGTATTTACAGTAAATAAGTATTTTAATATTACAACTTACTAGTTTCCTTTAAGAGTTTGAATTTTTCCACTCACCTAACAAATGCCTCAGCCCCTGAAAACAAATGTACCCCAAATTTCACATTCCTATCCACCCCATTCTGCTGCCTGGGGATCTGTTTACCCAGACTGCCTGGATCCTGGAGTGCACATGGGGGTCTGGGGGATGTGCTGGAAGACAGGCAAGGGAGATGCACCCCTCTGCCATGTGCAGGGGTCCCTCAGGTGGGCAGGAAGAAGTACAAGGCCCAGAAGTTCTGTGGATTTGTCAGTACAGTCCCCAAGACTGGAGAAACCAGTTGGAAGGTGATGGGGAAATGTGGAAGCAGGATCAGCCCCTTCCCTGGCCCAGCCATCTCTAGCATGGACCCCTCCTACTCTGGGAGAACCAAGAACCTTCCACAGACCCACACCCTGGGAGTGGAGAGGAGTACCTCAGAACAAGGTAAGGAGGGTGCCTACACCAGACAGGAATGCTAGAACCGACAGAAACAGACCCCAAAGCCTGATGCCTACTGAGCTCTCATCCAGCCCCACATGGCTGCCAAGCACTGTGTGCGGAACTCATCCATCTGACAACATGCCCAAGCAGATACTACCACCCCACATGGTTGAGGAAACTGCAGCACAGGGGAATAAACTAACACCTAAGGCTGCACAGCTGGGACCCAGTGTGTGTGCCAAGCACAAGAGCCACATGTCCCTGTGCTGAGAGCAGGGCACTGCCCATCCAGGGCCATGCAGGCACCCGAAGGGCCAGCCACTGTGACAAGCGCCACCAACAAATGGGAGCAGAGGCAGAAGGCACAGGACACTAAGATGACCTCTCAAGGTGCACAACACTGAAGTTAGGCCTCAAGGAAAGACAGGAAGAGCACACAAGGGGAAGGGAAGAGAAATCGGGTGCCAGAGTGGGCGCTGCAGTGTGCAGTGACACTGAGCCCAAGGAGGGCTGGTGTCCATGATCTCTTCAAGGAAAGAGAGGAAGAGCCATCAGGATCCAGAAGAGACCTGTTACATGGCAGAGGAAAGGCACAACACTGCCTGCAGGGAAGGAAAGCGTTTTGCCCCTAATGAAGGGCTGGCCTGGCCAGGAGACAATGGCCGTGTTCTCCTGGCTGCCTACAGTAAAACTGGAGCGGTCCAGCAGATTGGGTGGGGTGGGACGGACCTAAATGTCAGGGCTTCCCAGAGTGTTCCAAATGGTTCCCACAGGCAACCAGGGCTGAGACCACTGAGCCTGGTGCAAGGGGCAATAAAAATGAGTAAGACATGGCCTCACCTGCAGAAACTTCAGCTTAAAAACATGGCACATGAACTGAAAGCTACTTGGAAAGCCACTCTTCTGAACAGCAAGAATGGGTGACACAGCACCATGTAGAAGATGAGGTGGGGTCCCCGTTCATCAATCCCCATAACATAGCTGCAAGGCAGATCACCAAGGAAATGGTAAAAAAGAAAGATGTTTGCATTGCACAGGCCGCTTGATTAGGAAAGACAGATGAGCCTGAGGACAGGAGACTGATGCCCAGCACACAGGAGGCCAGGAGGAGGGACAGACTGACATGCGTGAGCACAGAGCTGGTCCCCTTGAGTGCACTGGGCATCTTCCCAGACCTCAGCTTCCAGTGCTGGAGCCTGGCCTGCCACAATAGGCCAACAGGTGAATAATCTGCACTGAAGACAAGGAAAAGCATTTCCCCATGCCAATGATGTAATCACAGTTACTGCCACACCTAAGCTCTACCTCCACCCAAACAAACCTCACTTTAAATGCACAAATGCCTTACTTTAACCCCTTAACTACCTGAAGAAACAGGTATAAGGGTTAATTTCCCAGTGTACCTGGGAAATGGGATAATTTAAAGACAGGTTCCAGCACTACCAGGCCCTGTACAACACTCCTGAACAACCGGGAGCGGGTGGGGGGGGGGGGCACGGGGACTGCCCTGCATATCACTTACCCCAATGCCGCTGGGCCTGGCTCACCAGAAACGGCCTCATCTGGACCAGGCGGGTGGCATAAATGTGGGCATACTGCCGACTAAAGCTGCGCTCCCCCAGGCGAAAAGGCTGTGAGGTGTTGGTGTACATTGCCACGGGCACACGGGCAAAGGTGGCGCTGGTGACTGCTGGTGGGGATAGCAGTGTGTGTGCCCTCTGAGCAGCCTGCTCAGAAAACATGGCTGTGTTCGACGTGTCCAGATCGCTGTGCCCAGGCGGAGCAGGAGGGGACCACTGTGAGGACACAAATGCATACCTGCAGCTCTGCCCATCCCCAGGCTGTCCTGGTGTCTCCCAAGGCACAGAGTTGGGAGCTGTGGCAACCAGACGGGCCACAGCAGCACCCGGAAATCCACTGTGCGGGACACCATCTGGCCCTGCAACCCTGTCCAAAAGGGAGACAAGCAAAGCTAAGGAAACCCTTCTCCACTTGGGGCTCTTCAAGCTGGTCTCTGGGTCCACTGCCTGTTCCACACCCGCCATGGACAACTACAGGATCTCAAATTATACATGCCCCCAGTGGAATTGCTCATGTGCCCCCGTCCAGCTCCCCCACGGCCTGCCCCATCTTAGGGCATGAGGCCAGCCTTATTAATACATAAACCAACCATAAAATTTTAACTCATTAGCAAATAAAAATAAGGACATAAATAAATCACTCTGCTCAAAACTCTCCAAAGGCTCCCATCTCACTGAATAAAACCTGGGTCTCTGCACCGATAACTCCGTGCAGATCTCGCCCTCACCCTACTCCGCTGCCCTTGAGCCTCCTTGGCCCGCGCCCGGCCCTCCGAACCTCCGGCTGCTCCCCACAAGCGCAGAGCAGCACAGGAACCCGCCGCCGACCTGGAGCTGCCGCCCCGCGGCCGCGGATGCGCTGCTGAGTGGGAGCAGCGGTTTGGTGCGACGGCTCTAAGACGAGGCACGCAGCCTGGCTCCCCCTTCCACCGCCTTTTCGGTGCAGCAGTTATACAGCTTCTACTCTGTTTCCTCCGGTCAGCTCTGCGCTGGGAAGGAATCTGAACTTGCGGCCCAAACGTACAGAGGGGACTGCAGTCTGGCCCCCGGCTGCCAGCTTCCAGCCCGGCCACCAACCTGCTTCCTGGTCCCCAGCCCCGCAGCCCGGGACCCTGCCCAGGGCCGTACCCTGGGGTCGGCGCGTGGGGCACAGCAGAGATCCTGCTCAGCCTGCCCACGAGGGCCAACACTCACTGCAACAGTGCGCCACCCCCACGGGGCCCGGGAAGCCCGAGATGCCAGGGACCTCGCTCACCTGGCCAAGAGCCGCTCCGCCCACCGCCGCATCCCGCCAATCCTCGTGCGCCGCATTCCGCCAATCCGTACGGCCCACTCACCCACCGCTGCATCCAGCCAATCCTCGCGTGTCTCTCCCGGCCCGTCGCCGGGCGCCTAGCTCCGTCCATCACCGCGGGGTCCGCCCACCGCCTCGCGCCGCTTCCTGCCAATCACTGGCTCCCCGCTCTGTCTTTACTCGCGGGACCTACGGGCCGTAGCGCATAGCCTCCCGCCAATCCGCGAGTTCCTAATCCACCATCGCCTGCTCCCCGCCTCTGCACGCTAAGCGTGCGGTGAGCCGCGGCCCAGTTTCTCTGGCAACGCCGTGGGACTGGTGCGCATGCGTGTGCGCCGCGTCGCCCTGGAGGTGCGTCGTGAGGTCACGGTGCCTTCCGGGTAGTTGAAGCCGCTCCCGCCCACCGAGGGCCGGGTAGGACACCCTGTTCTGCGGCGGAAGCCGGTACTGATAGCTGGGGTGAGACCGACGCCGGAGACAGCACCGCCCGAGGGGAGCAGTTACTCCCCCGGAGCGCCGAGGGCAGGGCCCGAGCCAGGGATCCAGGGTGGCGGAGGCCGGTTTGGGGTTAGGGTTGGGGTGGGATTAGGGTAGGATTAGTGTGGGTTTAGGACGGGGTTGGGCTGAGGTTAGGGGTGGAATTAGGATTAGGGTTAGGGTTAGAGTTAGGATTGGGGTGGGGTCAAGCCTAGGGAAGCAAGCTTTCTGTGTAAGCCCTCTGCTCTGGGACACAGCCTGGACCCAGCGCTCTCGGCCCAGTTGTCCTTCCCACGCGTCCCTTCCCCCTTCGCTCTAATCAGGCCTTTCCTTGACCGACCCCACCCCTCCCCGCCCAGCATCGGTACTGCTCTTGTCCGCATCTCCAGCAAGTTATTTCATCTGATCATCAAATAACCCTTTGAAGGGGAAACGGAGGCAGGTGAGGACACACAGCTAATGGGGAACAGCTGGCATTCACACCAAGGCAGATTGACTTCGATGGCCTCACATAAGATGCTCCCCAACATCAGCTGAATTGCCCAGGTAATTACCCACTACTTCTTGCTCCTGCCATGGAATAAGGCATTTGTGAAACATTGTGCAGAACGGGCTGAACTAAGTCCTCTTTAAGAGGGTGTGTGGGGAGTCTTGTTTGCTTACCATATGCCTGGCACATGTACTTGCTGCATGAATGGATGAGGACTTCTTTTGAATGCAAGCAGTGTGCCAAGTGTGCTAAGGACATAATCTTGTTAAATCTTACATGGCACTGTTATCATCTCCATTTCACAGAAAGCTTCATCACTGCAGAGTCTTCATCACTGCAGAGTAACGTAGCCAGGGAAGGGGCCAGAATTTGACCCACCTGCCCATGTTTGGGCCCTCAGACATAAGCTGTGCAACCTCCACCCTGAGCTTTGCTACTGGTGACAGGTACACAGATGGGGCAACTGATGGGGTCTGTAACAGAAGCCCCAGGCAGGAGTCAGCAATGATGGGTCTGTGAGAGGCAGGGCAGACCTGTGGGGGTCCTTCTGTGGGGTGCAGGCACTTTTGTGGGGGACCACAAACTCTTCCCTAACCCTCCTCCCTTTGCTATCTGCAAGGCTGTAGAGGCAAAAGTGCTGATTTATGACCTCCCTGGCAGCCAGGCAAGGTAATGACATCAGATCTTGCAGAGACATAAGGGGTGTGGGGAGTTGGGCCTCTGAGAAATTTGCTTTCATGATAAAAGTGAAGACACAGCCTACAGCCTTCCCCTTTCTCTCTGTGGTGAAAACATGGCAGTGTCCTGCAACTTTGAGTGAATCCCAGAGATTCTAACCTAGATACCACTTAGCTACTTGACCATAACTAGAATTGCTAACTTTTATTTCATGGCAAAAAATGAACCACTACTTGTTTTCTCTGCTTCGGGTATTCTGAATATGAACCAAAGATGTTTTAAATGAAATATGTAAGTATATAAAAGGGCAAAGGGCCCCCAGAAGGTTAATAGAACTGGCGACTTATGCATTGGGCTCCCCAAGGTAAGTACTAGTTTCCATTAAAAGCAAGGACTGTGTAGAATGACATCACAGGGAGGGTCTTCTGTAATATTCACTAATGCATTTTTTATTATTATTGTTATTAACATATGATTGATAAACACTCTTATGAAGGTTTCACATGAAAAAACAATGTGGTTACTACATTTACCCATATTATCAATTCCCCACCCATACCCCAATGCAGTCACTGTCCATCAGTGTAGTAACATGCCACAGATCCACTATGTGCCTTCTCTGTGCTGCACTGTTCTCTCCGTGATCCCCCACACCATGTGTCCTAAACATAATACCCCTCAAGCCCCTTCTCCCTCAGTCCCCACCTGCCCTCCCAAACCCCTCCCCTTTAGTAACCACTACTTCATTCTTGGAGTCTTTGAGTGTGCTATTTTGTTCCTTCAGTTTTGCTTCATTGTTATACTCCACAAATAAGGGAAATCATTCAGCATTTGCCTTTTTCCACCTGGCTTGTTTCACTGAGCATAATATCCTCCAGCTCCATTCATGTTGTTGCAAATGGTAGAATCTGTTTCTTTCTTATGGCTGAATAGTACTCCATTGTGTATATGTACCACATCTTCTTTATCCATTCATCTACTGACGGATACTTACATTGCTTCCATATCTTCGCTATTCTAAATAGTGCTGTGATAAACATAGGGGTGCATATGTCTTTTTGAATCTGAGAAGTTGTATTCTTTGGTTAATTCCAAGGAGTGGGATTCCCGGGTCAAATGGTATTTCTATTTTTAGTTTTTTGAGGAACCTCCATATTGCTTTCCACAATGGTTGAATTTATATCCCCACCAGCAGTGTAGGAGGGTTCCCCTTTCTCCGCATCCTTGCCAGCATTTGTTGTTCTTAGTGTTTTCAATGCTGGCCATCCTTACTGGTGTGACGTGATATCTCATT